CGCGCTGGGGCGCGGAGCGGCCCGCTCCCTCCGCCAAACTTCCGTGGGGACCAGCGCGGAGCGGGGGCGCGTCCCCCGCGGCGGCGCGCAGAAACACGCAGGCACTGACAGACCCGCGCCTCTGGCTGGAAGTTGAGGGAGGGATTTGCCTTTTTAAATTTTTTTTCCCTCATTCACGGGCGGGGGGGGGGGGGGTTTCCCCTGCCGGTCCCCCCCGGTACGTGGGCCGGGCGCGCTGCGCGCCCGCGGAGCCGCCCGCGGAGCCCCGCGCCATCGCGCCGCGCGCTCTAATTGAAATGGCGCTTTTGGCCGGGGGCGGGCTGCCAGGGCGCTCCGCAATAGCACAATGCATGTCGATAGACGTCATTTGGTTTTAATGGCCTACAGGAAATTTGGCGTTTACAATGCGAGACATTAGCAAAGGGTGAAAGGGAGGGGGAGGCAGGCAGGATGGATGGCTGGGAATAATTGCAGCCCCCCCCGCCCCCGAGGCCCCCCGTCCGCACCTCGGCGGCGCTGGGTGCTGCAGGGAAGGGGGGGTCGAGGCTATTTTTTTATTATTTATTTTTTAACTTCATCTAGTTTATCAACAAGTGCAGAGTGGGTGCTACCCTAATTGTAACAGAGGAGTCAAGAGATGTGAGAAACGTGCCCTGTGTTACTTATTTGGGAGCTGAAAATTTATGCCTAGTTGAAAATGCCTGGGGAAATATTACATCAGACCAAATGACAATGATTAAAATCAGCTTTTTTCCCCCCTTCCCCCCCGCTCTTTTCCTCCTTCTTCTTTTCAGTAAGTCTGTTGAAGGACGTGACAGTGGCCTGATCCTCCCCAACACCGAACCGTTATCCCCCGGCAGGGCCGGGCCGGGCCGGGCCGCGCGGAACTCCGCGGGGCAGCGCAGGGCTCCCGCCCCGGCCGCGCCGCGCGGAGGGGCTCTGCGGGCGGCGGCGCCGGGGGCGCGGGCCGGGGAGCCGGCCGCCTTCCCAGCCTTATTTCATTTTCAAGGGCTGTATTTTATTTTATTCTGGGGGGGTGGGGGATGGGGGAGTAAGATCTGCAGACCTTCACCAAAAGGAGGGAAAAATATCCAATTTTCATCGCAAAATTAGCTAGGGCGAGAGCAAAGGGCTGAGCTAATTGTAGCCTAATCCTCTGCCCTGCAGGCGTTTGCAAAGCCCTGAGCAAGAATTCGCTTTTTTTCCTCCTCTTCTCCCTTCCCTCTGTTATTTAGAGACGGGATTATTGCCTTTCTTCTCATAACAGCCTCGGCAGTTTCATTTAAAGGCTTTTTTTCCCCCCTCTCACACACACACATACACACACACGCACAAAATAAATAGAAAAAGAAGCAGCAAAAACAGGGGAAGAGCGAGGAGACAGAGAAGCTTTAAAAATAATAATAATCACAGCAGGATCTGCGGAGCAAAGATAGTAATAAAAGCAAAAAGCTGAGCCCATCCACACACAGCCCCGGCAGAGCCCAAAGCCAAAGGGGGGCTCGCAGATCTCTTCTGTGCTCAAGGTAAGGACCTCGGCAGCGGCTCCCGCAGCTGCCCGTGCGCCCGCCCGTGCGGGGCCGGAGCGCGCCGTGCCGTGCCGTTCCGTGCCGTGCCGTGCGCGCCGCGCCGTGCCGTGCCTCGCATCGCGCCGCACCGCGCGGTTCGCGCCTGCTCGCGCTCCTTTTTTTTTTTTTTTTTTTTTTTTTTACCCCCCCCCCCCCTTTTTTTTTTTTTTTTTTTTTTTTTTTTTTTTTTTTGGAAAGTGCCTCTTCAAACTCACTCGGCTGCCGGCTCCGGGGAGCAGCGGCGGAGGGGTGTTTTTTTAAAGCTACAGGACCCGTTTGCAGCCGCCCCGCTTTGGTAGCGCCGCGCGTGTGTGTGTGTGTGTGTGCGTGTGTGTGTATGTTTTGTTTTGCTCCGCTCCAGCATGGGCAGCGCCGGCGGAGCCCCGCGGCCCGGGGTGCCCGCGCTCCCGCTGCCCCCCCGGCCCCGGCTCTGAAGACGGCCAAGCCCCAGCGCGGCGGAGGCAGCGCGGCTCGCTCTGCGCTTTCGCATGGTACACGCGGAGCGCGGCCGCGGGCTCGGGCGGGCGGGAGCGCGGGGGTGCGCGGGCCGGGGCGCGGGGGCTGGCGGCGGGGCGGCTCGGCACAAAGGGAAGGCGGGCGACAATGGGGAGCGCCGCGTATGGAAAACACGGGCGGGCTGTGAATGAAACTCTGGCGCCAGTGAGAGTGGAAGGCTTGGTTTGGGGTAGACTTCAAACCACTCTAGGCTATAGTTTGCATTCCTGCTCCTGCATGCGATGTGGCACACTTCTGCAAAATTAATACATTAGCCTGGCTAATGCTCACCACCATTGGCTGCGCGGAAAATGTGCAGGATCGGGGATTCGGGCTTGACTTTTTTTTCTTGCATTCATCTAAGACATCTCCTTTCTTGTTATGTGGGAATAAGTAAAGGACGCCATGTTGTGCCTTTTTTTTTTCTTTTTTTTTTTTTTTTTTTTTTTTTTTTTTTTTGGTTTAATTTTTTCCTTTGGGCATACAGTGTGTTCAAAAGAAAAAGGCAGAAGTTGAGTGACCGGGTGCGTTGCTCGCTGGTGATTTCCCTGACCATCAGTAGGGAAAAGCATTTGGGTGACGTGAAACTTGCACTAAATAGACTGGAGTCTGCCAGAGAGAGGCGGGTTGCGGGGGGGGGGGGAGAGGGGGGGGGAGGAGGAAGGCCCCCCCCAAAAGTTTTGGGCACGATCTCCTCTGTGTCTCGGTGCAGTGTTCAGCAAAGCAACGTGGACATGTGTGCAAATGTTTATGGAGTTTTAATTTTGGAACCACCGAGCCCGAGGCTTGTAGCCCCCCGCCCCGCTTTGTCTTTGGGCTGGGAGCACGGCGGAGGCAAGTTGTCTCGGGGTGGCTCCGGAGGCAGAGCCGGGCGGTCGCCGTCCCTGTGCAGCCAGACAAAGGTAATTGCCCAGTCTGGCTGTGCCCCTCCGGCAGCGCCGGGCGCAGCCCGGGCACGCAGACTGCCCTGCAGCCACGGCAGCGCCCGGGGAACTTGTGGCCCGCAGTGCCGAGGATGGGGCGGTCGGGGGGATGCAGTGGGTGGGTTTACCCCCGGTGGGTCTGCTGGTACAGAAATGAAGGTCCCCGGGGAGGAGGAGCGGCTTCCCCGCGGCTCCGGCAGCCCGGGAGCAGCGGCGGTGCCGGGGGTGCAGCCGGGCCCGGGTGCTGCGGCCCGAGCCGCCCCCAGCCCGGCTCCCCGGGAGAGCAGCTCCATGGCAGGTCCGTAAACCTGCCGTTTTCATTTCACTTCTTAAATGTGCATGAAGGAATTAAACTGCACGAGTGAATAACAGCATTAGTTTCAATTAATTTTTATCCTGGCAACAATAAACTTTAGAAACAAAGCGCTTTTACATCCTTAATTAGTCTTGCTTCCCATCTGTAGTCTTTTAAGTGCCTGCTCCTTGATTTAACTTTGTCCCTCCTTCAGAGCCGCCTCCTTTTTTATTATTTTCCTTTTTTTTTTCGTTCCCCCTTCCAGACTGCTGCCTGTTTCTTTCCTGCAACCTTTCACCTCCCTTGTCCCTATCTGTCTGCTCTGCTCTGTGCAGTTTATTTCTCCTGTATTTTCCCAACATCAACAGCAGTATTGGTTACCATGGCCCCAAGCTATGTGCAGAGGTGGGAAAGCTTCATCCGCCCAAAACTTCTTACACTTTTGAAGTCTTTCTTTTAGTAGGATCTGAAATGTATCATCTAGAGTGTGTATTAAATGAACAGTATTCCTGAAGGCTTTAGAGCAAGAAAGGCAACACCCTGGAAAATTCTGCAGTCTTTCAGCATTCTCTGCCCTAGGGTTATAGCCCTGGGCACGGAGCTGAATGGAGCTCTTACAACTGCCTTCTGTTTACCTTTTATGGTTAAAATAACAGCTTAGCAAAGAAGCAACTTCATGGAGAAACGATTCAGTGAAATCATCTCAAGCTGTAGCAGCATAGCTAGTTTAATCACCCCTAGAGAGCTGAACAACTGTGAGCACAATGGGACACAAAATCATTTTGTGTGTAAATGAGCATGGCATTGTGATTATTTCACTTTGCATGGGCAAATAGTTTTTACAAGCAGTTAGCTTAGGAAGGCAGAAAAAGATAAGCTGGCTCTGAAAGATCTTGGTGTGTAATGTTTGAAAAACTAAATATTCACATAATTTGGGAATCAGGCTCTATTGATTTTGCCTTCAGCAGGTTCCTGTGTTACTTATTAGAGCGGGGTTATTGCCTGTGCCACTAGTTGGGATGCTGTATCCTGTTGTAGGCAACTAAAGAGCAAGGATTATTTTACATGGTTTAATAAATGAAGTTTGTTAGTGTTTCTGCGATATTTACCCTTAAGGTTTTAATTTTCTCATCCATATTAGAAAATATGTGCATAAAGACTTCCACTGGATAAATACATTTAGGATTTTGCTTTGTGCATAAAATAAGTACATTACTCAGTGTGATGAATTTTTGCTGTGTGGTACATTGAGAAGAGGAAGGAGTCATTAGAAATAGGGTTACGGTACCTTAAGAAACAGGGGGTATTTTTTTTGGAGCAGTAGTGCTTAGCCATCGTGCCTCTTGATAATTAGCTCATACAAAAAGGATTGAATTCCACAATTTTAATAAAAATCTGGGATTATTTTTTTAATATGAATCCTCTTCAGCCAGTGTTTTAATTCCCCTTCTCCTCCTCTCCCCCCAAAAGCCAGTGGCCCCCTCAATAAGTATGAAAAGCCATAAAAGTTTGAGAACTGTTTTAGCTTTCCAGTGATTTTCTATAATTAAGTGTTTTTTCAACACATGCTCTAGCTGAGAAATGCCAAAAGCAGAGGATTGTTCAAAAGGTCCCTCCAGTGAATAGTATAAATTAAATATCTACTGTGTGAGTATGGCCTCACTGAGAATCTCAGTCTTTACAGATCAAGGAATTTACTGGTATACTAACATTAAACAAAATCCTAAGATAGCAGCAGTGTTTAAATATGCACAAATAGATTCATATCACTTGATCTTTAGCTATCTGTGCATATTTTAAAATTGATGTCTGTATTTCAAGACAAATGGTTAAATGTAAGACACGTTTACAGAAGACTGGAAGTCCTTTGATTTCATTTGGAAATTGTAACAAGGGGTGCAGATGAGCCCTAATTAGACTCTTGTTTTGTGAAACTGCGTGAGATTTATTTCTGAGGCAGCCCTGTACCGTGCAAGGTCTGTACCTTTATCATCAGTGAACATGGTTGGGGTCTGAACAAAGACAGGGTTGACATTCAGCCTGGATCTTCTGACCCTTTCATTTAAGTGAAAGAGTAGAGACTGAACATGAGTTTACAGTGCTCTTTGGTAAGGAAAAAGCCAGCAACCTTTGTCTGTGTTGGCAGACAGATTAGTAAACACGTTGCTAAAATACTGCAGGTACTTACATACTAAGTTGTTTTTTAAGTTAGTTGTTTTATTTATGCTGTATGACATATTTACTGAAGGTTGGCCACAACCAGCTCTTGTGGGAAACAAGAAAGCAACGTCTTCAGTCATGAAAGGATTCAGTCACTTTCCTTGAAGGTGGTGCTGTAGTGAAAATGTTAATGCCCAATTTTGCATCGGCTGACACAGGAGTCCTAGGACAGAGTTGGCATTTGCTGCATGCTCAGTGCAGCTGTCCATCCAGCCTCTGAAGAGACGAGGATGTGGATTCATAATGGGGTGATGTATTCCTGTGCTGTAGATGCAAGAAATTCTTAGGAGCTAACCGAGATGAAATACAGTAAATGGAGATGTTGTGATGACTTTGTGAAGCTGTTCAGATTTGTTAGGATTTTCAGTCACTTTCTCTATAGCTTGGGAATTATTTTACAAAGAATGTTGCTGATTTATGTTCATCAAGTGGTGTAGTCGGGCATCTTGAGCAAAATACTGCTAAAGGGAAAGGCAAGACCTGCTTTAGATTTGTCAGAAACATTGTCAAAGTAATGTGGGAGAAATAGAAATTCACTTTGCAATGCTGCATGTGAAGTGCTTGTCAGATGTAAGGAAGAGTCTGGGTGCTTGGTAGCATGCTTGAATTACAGAATACCAGGAAAATTAGATTATATTCAGAAATGTCTTCAGCTATAATGTTTTGCATATGTTGCTTTCCTCATAAGGGGGGGAATGGATGTACATTTTCTTAAACTTTTCTAGAAGGGTTTTTTTCTGTTTGACCTGTGTGCCGTCTGCACCGACTGAACTGAAATCAGCTTTGAGACACATTTCGTGGAGAATAAACTGTGCTTTTCTTAAGAAAAGAATTGAGGAATTTGCTTTTGCTAGGTTGTCCTGTTCATTTTTAAGACATTTCAGTATATTTAGCTTTGATTTTGCTGAAAATCTTTTGATTCAATTCAGTAATTTCACTAATTTTCCAGTATTTTTAGGGCAGGAGACATTAGGTGGATTGTGGCATTTATAATTTCACGTGCTAGATTATTCGGTACTTTCTTGTCCTAAAAGCACGAGTCAGTTTATTTATCTTTCTGTTTTCACTGCTTCCAGGTATTAATTGCTTTCAGTTCGAAATCTTATTAGTTGTTTAGGTCTAATATTAAGGCTTAACTGAAAATTATCCATTTATTTCACAATTATTGAAAATAAGCCAGAAAATTGATCTTAGTTGGAAGTGAAATTTACTAGAGGTATAAACTAAATGCCTTAGGTACTGAGGAAGTCACTAATTTAGAGGTGTCTTGTTACTGAGACAAACTTGCAAAAACCCCCTGAATCCCAATTCACAAATTGGTTATTCGTTTGTCAGGGGATATTTCACATCTAACACATAAGCCCACGACCTTTAATTAGAATTTTGCAGTTTGTTTTATGCCCCTTGAGGCTGACACCTTGAAAATTTTTTTCTTGATTTCTTATTGCTAATAAGCATCTTTCTCTTCCCCTGTGGTACTTAGAAGAAAATGATGCAAATACACTTAATTACAGTGGTGGCAATAATTTGTTAGCTGAATATGTGATCAGGCAGATGCAAAAGCGATCTGATTAGATCTGTGATCACGCTGGAAAGAAAGGTAACACACTGCTACATTTAAGAGAAACTGTTCTTTTTGCCTCCCCGCTGCAGGAGGGAAGAAGCATGTCCCGTCTGTCTCTGACACGCTCCCCGGTTTCTCCTCTGGCTGCTCAAGGAATTCCTCTCCCAGCTCAACTCACCAAGTCCAACGCTCCCGTGCACATCGATGTAGGAGGACACATGTACACCAGCAGCCTGGCTACCCTGACCAAGTACCCAGACTCCAGGTGAGACCTTGGCGTTGGCAGCTCGCTGCCTGCCGCTGCTCCCTGCGTGCACCTGTGAGGAGCATTTCAGTGCCAAGTACCATTTGTTATATATTCACTGCTTATGAATAATTCACTTTCTGATTTATACAGTAACTTCACTGGGGTTCTGCAGAAAAAAAGGCCTGTACAATTTATGTATTATTTAGAGAGTCTATTCATTTTCTCTCTCGACATCTTCCGTGCTCTGCTGATACGTTTGAAGCACCTGTTGGTGTGCTGCCCTAGATTATTTCCAGCTGTACCAGGAAACTTGTTTCTTTCAGGTTTGGGGGAAAAATTGGTTTTTTCTTCCTCGAGGAGGAAGAATGGTTCTGCTACTGTGGGACTAACAGATGCTTCTGTTGGCCAGCCAGAATCCTGACCTCAGTGGTAGCTGTGTGCCTCAGCAGTCAGGTCCTCTGGGCAGTGCCTGGCTGACCCACTCCGGCTGCTGCAGCCACAGGCTGGACAAAATTCCTGTGAGTTTCAATGTAGTGCCTTGTGCTGGACAGGTTGGTGACATGTCTGGCAAGATTTATGTAGATCTGGCCAGCATTATCTCAGGATAGACTCCAGATATGCCTAATTAGGAATAGCAGTGGCATGAGGTTGTTGGTGTGTGACATGGGGTCTCTGTTGTCTGCCTGGCCGCCAGTCCTGCAGGTTCTGGGCACTACGGAGGGTGGGGGATCCTGGGCAGCGTGCAAGGCACTGCTCCGTGAGGGGTGAGAGCCACACTGAGAGGTGCCTGATGTGGATTTACAGTCATGGCCACTCAACCAGTGCTGCTTTTTACCCCTGAGGCTGCTCAGGGTGAGCTCCAGAGGCTGTGTCAGTGCAGGGCCAGCGTGCCTGCTGCACTCTTGGCTCCAAAGCAAGCCAAAGCCCAGATTCTGTTGCCACAGGTTTTGCTACCTGCATGGCCAGTATTCCATGAGAGATATTCTTTTTCTTTTTTGGTATGACAACCAGTGTGAAATGCTAGTTTCATCTGAACATTTTTCTTTTAAAAGAACTAAGGGGTTTTGCAGATTTGGCAGGTTCCCAAGAAATAAATGACATTTATGGAGACACCTTGAAATGCCTCTAATATCATAAAGCATATGGCTGGGATTTCATTCCAAGGAAAGGGAGCTGCTGAAATTCTCTATGGAAAAAAGCCTAATTATTAAAATACCTATATTTTGTGGTCGGACCAAAGCAATATGATTTTTTTGGACAGTGTCTGTTTAATAATGTTTTTGTAGTACTACTTTAATCATAGAGAAGAAATCTGTTTAGTGAAGAGAGATTTATAACGGAGAAGCATACAAATGCTTCATGGTATTAAAAAATACAGTGAAGATTCAGCAGTTGTAATAGAGTGACACATCTGTTTCCACATTTTAAAATATTGCTGCTATTTTTAAAATATGCCCCACATCAAGCTTACTTAATAAAAGCTTCAGTTATAGAAGCTTTGGGAGAATATACATAAATTCAGATTTTAAGAGAATACTGTACTGAACCAAAATTCTCTTTTTTCTGTGTGATAAGTAACAAAAGCATATTTCTTCAGATTTTGAAAGCACAAAACTGACCAGAGCTTTCTTGCTGCCTGATGTTTTGCTGTGTACTGTCTTTTGTTTATATTGCTATGTTAATTCATAAGGTTTGAATGCTTTTTCAGCTGCTCAAACTTCAGTTCTCACTGAAGTGAGAGCTTCCAGCATGAAACCTATAGATGACATCATTTTTGTAGCAAAAGATAAACCTTCACCAGCAGCCCAAGTAAGACATACTGCTTGATACATTATGAAACTGGGTGAAGGCTGTATCTTAATTTATTATCTTTTTTTTTTTTTTTCCAATATTGTTGGTTTTTTCTGCAGTGCTGTGTAGTAGACTTGGTTGTGAACCCCTCAATGAGTCTGGCCTGCTGGCATTCCTGGCTGAGGCAAAATACTTGCAGTTATTCCCATGGGGATGGTTGGAGCTCCTGGTGCTGCTTCCCTGCCCTGGTGTGGATCTTCCATATGGCACAGGCTGGCTTTGCTGTGCTGGGGCTGGGAGAGGATTCCCAGGTCTCTCAAGGGGCAGGAGGAGGGAGAAAGCTCTTCTGAGCAAAATATCCAGAAATGATGCCAGGGCACTGCTGGCTTCTGCCAGAGGTGTAACACGTGTGGCCGCACGGAGAGGCACGGGCACACTGCTCCAGCAGAGCTTTCTGGGTTGCTTTGGACAGCGTGTTAAACTCTTGGCTCGAGTGTGAGTTTAAAAGCTTCAAATCCAAGAAATCACACAAATCTGTAGATTGTATTTCAGCAAAAGATATAAGCATATGCTGAAATGCTTTGCTAAATCTTAGCTGCAGTCATGTAAAATAGTTTGTGCTCGCTGAAATTGAAAACTGTGAGAATAAACTTCCTTTTTGTTTGTTTTACAATTTCTGCTTTCTCTGTTGCTTTCTCTGTGCTCCCAGATCCCAAAGAGCTTCCAGCTTGTAGGCTTTTTAGCATGTACAGTACTTGGGTTTTTAAGGACACGTGGATTGTGAGCATGTGTATAAACGGGTGTGCGTACACAGAAACATCACATACTGCTGGGAAAAATAAATCACCCCGTCGCGTTTGAACTTCCTCAGTATTTTGAGGAGGTCCTGAGCAAACTCAGTCCGTGCTGACTTCAGTGAGAGGGAGGAGCTGCCAGCAGCCGGCCGGGTCAGCAGCGCGGGGAGCTGTGCCCCGGTCCTGCCGTGCCTGTGCTGCGGCCGCCTCTGCTGTGACAGCGGTGACAGCTGACAGCGAGCCGCGGCTCTGACAGCAGGGACTGGGCTCTGCCCGGCCCCGGGTGCTCGGCTCTGCTCTGGCAGGGAAGTCTCACTCGGGTTGGTGAATGCTGTTAATGTGAAGCCAGAGGCCAAATCTTGCATTTCAGAGATCCCCGAGTTGTTCCAGAGCAACTTTGACCAAGTCTTTGATGTTGTTTGTATTAGTGCAGCCCTGTGATCAGGGCGTTTGTCCACTGATGAAATTTGCATAAGTAAAGGGTGCCAGATTAGGCATTAAAGGGGGTAGATGCTCTCTTTCCCGGAAATTTTTATGGCCCACATAAATTCTCTTAAGAGGAGAAGACTTGAGCAGGCACAAGTGGTGTGACAAAGGAGGAGAGGGCTCAACAGCCACTGTCAAAGGTGGTTTCTGGACCACTCACTCACCCACTGCTCTTGCACACCTTTCCAGTCGGCTTTTTGGATTAAACCGCATGCAAGAAAAAAAAAACTGGCCTTTCAGAGGGTGAAAGGCAAGGGAAATGAGAAACATAGAAAGAAACTGTGATCAACTACAACATAATGATGGTGGTCTCAGAAATTACCTCACAAATAATATTATTATTCCCACATCCTGTACCTACTTGGGGCCACTTTCCATGCATACCCAAAATTGTCATTAAAGTTGAAAAGCTTTGAAGGTACAAGGAGGTTGATGTTGTCTTACCTGGATCTGAGGCTCAATTTCAGTAGTTTGTTTTCAGCAAATTCTCCTACTTAAACTCTCAATTCTTGTAGTACTGAATTGCAGGTAAAAAAAAAAAAAATCTAAAACAAAAACAAACCAAAAAACTGTTGAATTCTAGTCACCCTTACCATCAGCATCTTTTTTCTATAATAATTGGCTTGGTAAAGAAATTATTCATCTTTGTAGCATTTGCTCTGGAAATTTCATTCCTGTTTTCACCCAGAGGACCTCTAAAACAGCCCCTTCACACGTTGACACTTGAATGTGGATTTATGTGACAGACTGTAAAGGCTGCAAAACCTCTAGCACATCCACAAAGTGAGTTGCAAATTGTATTTATCCAGTGGAGTGAGGCAGTTTTTCCATTTAGAAAACAAACCTGCACCAAAAGTCCAAGCTCCTGAGGTGCAGCCAGGAACACCCAAAGGCATTGCCAGATCCCCCAGTCTCATTCCCACTGAACTCTGGCAGACGTCTCATTGACCTCCAGCAGAAAAGAGGTGGAAGCTCCAAATCCCTGTAGACCACAGCAGGCCCCAGCTTCTTGATTTCCCTGGAAATTTTGATACCACTTTGAATTTAGAAAGCAGAAGAATATTTTTTTTTTGTCAGAAGCCTGTGCTTTTCACAGTCCTGAGCAGTGTTTTTATCTCAGGGAATTGCTGTGAGCTCTCTCTGAGCTGTGCTGCTGTACGAGGCAAATCTATTTACCTTCCGTTCTTGGCTAGTTTGTGTATAACCCTCTGTTCAGGACACTTCCATGTGCTATAAAAGCTTATGTTTTCTGTGGCATTACTTATGGCAAAGGGGAGAGGAATGATTTCTGTGGCAGTGCCACTGTCCAGGTGGGAGCAGTGAGGGTGCAGAGAGCCCAGAGAGCCTCCCCTGAGGGTTTGGGAGCTCTGCTCTGCTCCCAGCCTTTCCCCCTGCCAGGATGGAGCTCCTAAAACCAGAATACACTTTTTATACCCTTTCTAGTTTCTCAGTAAATTTACCATTTATTTATTTATTTATTTTATGGGCCACATAATTTATTTAAACTTAAACTCCATTTAAACTTTCTTTAAATTGAACTTACATTAACATATTTAAACATCAAGAATATACTTGTTAAAATACATGTACAAATATAGAGTGTATATTATATATATTACCCAAATATGCTTAAGAAAACTTAAAGATAACATTACTGACACGGAATAAAAAATTTATCTTGACAAAAATGCAATAAAACACGAAATCTTAAAATGAATAAGAATTAGACCTGACCCTAAATAAACTTAAGAACAATGCAACTTAAGAGAAAATTGCTCTTAATTAACTCAGTGGAATAAGAAAACATAACATTACAATTAAAATAGCAACATGATAAATTTCAGTGGCCAGGGCAGCTGAGCAGTGCAGCCCCTCCTGGTCTCAGCTCTGGGCACTGGGCTCTGCCACCCCGTCTCTGGAGCTGTGCCCTCCAAGGACAGCCAGCAC